TTTGGTCAGAAGAATGGCTTCAGTAACAAATACTGAAGAGAGGGAAGAGCATCTTCGCGAGCAGGCTGGCCAACCTAGTGAGGAGGGCTTTAAACTAGGTTCACCGGGGGAAGGAGACCAAAGCCCTGAGGTAAGTGGGAAAGCGGGATACCGGGAGGAAGCACAGGCAGGAATGTCTGTGAGGGGAGGGCTCCTGCCTCATACTGAGAATGAGGGGCGATCAGCAGGTTATCTCAAGTGCTTATATACGAATGCACAAAGCCTTGGAAACAAGCAGGGAGAACTGGAGGTCCTGGTGATGTCAAGGAATTATGATGTGATTGGAATAACAGAGACTTGGTGGGATAACTCACATGACTGGAGTACTGTCATGGATGGTTATAAACTGTTCAGGAAGGACAGGCAGGGCAGAAAAGGTGGGGGAGTAGCACTGTATGTAAGGGAGCAGTATGACTGCTCAGAGCTCCGGTACGAAACTGCAGAAAAACCTGAGTGTCTCTGGATTAAGTTTAGAAGTGTGTGCAACAAGAGTGATGTAGTGGTGGGAGTCTGCTATAGACCACCAGACCAGGGGGATGAGGTAGATGAGGCTTTCTTCCGGCAGCTCACGGAAGCTACTGGATCGCATGCCCTGATTCTCATGGGTGACTTTAATTTTCCTGATATCTGCTGGGAGAGCAATACAGCGGTGCATAGACAATCCAGGAAGTTTTTGGAAAGCGTAGGGGACAATTTCCTGGCGCAAGTGCTCGAGGAGCCAACTAGGGGGCGCTTTTCTTGACCTGCTGCTCACAAACCGGGTAGAATTAGTGGGGGAAGCAAAAGTGGATGGGAATCTGGGGGGCAGTGACCATGAGTTGGTTGAGTTCAGGATCCTGACACAGGGAAGAAAGGTAAGCAGCACGATACGGACCCTGGACTTCAGGAAAGCAGACTTCGACTCCCTCAGGGAACGGATGGCCAGGATCCCCTGGGGGACTAACTTGAAGGGGAAAGGAGTCCAGGAGAGCTGGCTGTATTTCAAGGAATCCCTGTTGAGGTTACAGGGACAAACCATCCCGATGAGTCGAAAGAATAGTAAATATGGCAGGCGACCAGCTTGGCTTAATGGTGAAATCTTAGCGGATCTTAAACATAAAAAAGAAGCTTACAAGAAGTGGAAGGTTGGACATATGACCAGGGAAGAGTATAAAAATATTGCTAGGGCATGTAGGAATGTTATCAGGAGGGCCAAATCGCACCTGGAGCTGCAGCTAGCCAGAGATGTCAAGAGTAACAAGAAGGGTTTCTTCAGGTATGTTGGCAACAAGAAGAAAGCCAAGGAATGTGTGGGCCCCTTACTGAATGAGGGAGGCAAACTAGTGACAGAGGATGTGGAAAAAGCTAATGTACTCAATGCTTTTTTTGCCTCTGTTTTCACTAACAAGGTCAGCTCCCAGACTGCTACGCTGGGCATCACAAAATGGGGAAGAGATGGCCAGCCCTCTGTGGAGATAGAGGTGGTTAGGGACTTTTTAGAAAAGCTGGACGTGCACAAGTCCATGGGGCCAGACGAGTTGCACCCGAGAGTGCTGAAGGAACTGGCGGCTGTGATTGCAGAGCCATTGGCCATTATCTTTGAAAACTCGTGGCGAACCGGGGAAGTCCCGGATGACTGGAAAAAGGCTAATGTAGTGCCAATCTTTAAAAAAGGGAAGAAGGAGGATCCTGGGAACTACAGGCCAGTCAGCCTCACTTCAGTCCCTGGAAAAATCATGGAGCAGGTCCTCAAAGAATCAATCCTGAAGCACTTACATGAGAGGAAAGTGATCAGGAACAGCCAGCATGGATTCACCAAGGGAAGGTCATGCCTGACTAATCTAATCGCCTTCTATGATGAGATTACTGGTTCTGTGGATGAAGGGAAAGCAGTGGATGTATTGTTTCTTGACTTTAGCAAAGCTTTTGACACGGTCTCCCACAGTATTCTTGTCAGCAAGTTAAGGAAGTATGGGCTGGATGAATGCACTAGTGAAAAATCATCCCAGCCAGGGCTTTGTCAAGCCTGACCTTAAAAACCTCTAAGGAAGGAGATTCTACCACCTCCCTAGGTAACGCATTCACAGTGTAGTGAAACACTGGAATGCGTTACCTAGGGAGGTGGTAGAATCTCCTTCCTTAGAGGTTTTTAAGGTCAGGCTTGACAAAGCCCTGGCTGGGATGATTTAACTGGGAATTGGTCCTGCTTTGAGCAGGGGGTTGGACTAGATGACCTTCTGGGGTCCCTTCCAACCCTTATATTCTATGATTCTATGATTCTATGATTCTATACTAAGATTTCTTGACTGTATACACAATGTGGGAAAGAGGAAATGGAATATATTTTGCTCGTGTGCACTAATTAAAACTGTGCCCATTGTCCAATACAAGTCACATAAGTCATTTAAAGCAGCCTTGCTTTGAATCTGAACTGCGTGTGACTGAACAATGCAGTACTTACTGCCTAACAGAAACAGGGTCATTTTAAATGTGCACTTCTTCTTCACAGAGCAGAGAGCAGATCCTGTCACTTGCAGCACCTTCAGGAAAAACCCTTCTGGTGCGGACGAAGGGCCTCTCTTGTTCTGAAGTTCCGCTCTTTCTTTTGACCTCTCTACCTCAGGGTTTTCCCCACACCCCATCTTTCTCAAGTCCTTCTCACCAAAGTCTCATTGAGCCCTCTTCCCTTTCAGTGGCATCCTGGGAAGTTTATTCTGGTCTCACTTCAAGTCTGGCTACCTCCTTTCTCCTGTCTCAAAAACCCTCTGCTCAACTGCTCCCTCTCTCCAGACTGGCTTCCTCCAGTGTCCTCTCTTGCTGGGCCAGCCAGCTCTTGATACCAAAAACCAGAAGAGTGGACTAGAAGCTGAGTGGTTAGCTAGGAGGCTGGTAACTGAGATTCCACCATTGCCCACTGCTCAGGACACTCACTCTCACAGCTTTCCCCCAAACACTGTGACTAGAAGGCTGGCCCCACTGAAGTCAATGGGCCTTTTGCATGGCATCAGAATCTTACCTTGTGCCTCTGTTGGAAAAGAGAGCGCAAAGGAGGAGGACTGTAGTGAGTGTTTGACACCAGCCTCATCCCCCTGCAAAGATTCTCCCCCCTAAAATGTTCACTTGCTGTGGGGAAAAAAATAAAAAAATTAAAAAGCCTGAGACTGCAGCTGGAAGGCTGAGAAGCAGGTAACTAGACAGAAAACTGGAGGTCTTGTTTATCTGCCTTGATTCCTATACTGAGCTGCTCACCACAGTCATGTTATTTCTAGAACAGCCATTTCTGGTTGATGTCTGAGACTAGAGAGGAGTTGTGTTGTAACTGAGCTCTCTGATCGAGCTAAAAAAATCCAGGAAAAACATCCTGTTTTATCCTTTTCCCCCCCAGCTATTTTGTTTAGTGACCTAATACGTTACCTTCTGGAATTTCTAAATCTGCCTGAGGACTACCTCCTCTGATATTAGGCTGACAATAATATAGGTATTTTTAAAGATTTCTCTGACAGCTGAGCTCTCTCATGGCACCAGACTAGTATATTATTCTTGAACAGAGACATACACACTTCCCACATTAAGGTAGCTGTTGCCACAGCAGGTCCAAGCTGGCCTGGACTGAAGTTCCTTTTACTAGAGTAGCCAAGAAAACAACTGCCCCCTTCTGTAATTAGGGAAATAATCCAGTAGTTCATTCCTTGTCTATAGTGAAGACATAGCATAGAAATACTGACTCTGGGAGTTAGGGTCTCTCACTCAGCCTTTGAGAAATTCCAACAGAGAGTCTGACAGCTACTAATCCACTGCTTCTAGCCTCCTAACAATGAACCATCTGCACCTGGAGCCACTCTCATTCCCTCACTAGTTTCTGTAGGGAGAGCAAACACCTGCTCAGAGATTTAACCCTTTTGTCCTGGCAATACAAGTTTGCAGAATCTTTCTTATTGGTGACCATGAGGCAAATAGGAAAGCCCACAGCATGATGGTTGAGACTGCAAGATTGGCCGCTAACACATCTGTTTGCCCCTAAGACTGTGATTTTGAGTGAGTGAGAGACAAGCAGCACAGACCATCACCATGGCATTGTTTACAGTCACTTCTTAGAGTAGAACGGCACTTTCAAGGTATAGTCCCTTCCATTTCTCCCAAATTATAAACTTGTTCAAACAATGCAGTTGTACAGTCTGCTGAACGAGAGCCATATTCTGGCGTCTCTTATACCAAGTGCACCCCCCTGATATAACTCAAAGCAGGATACTGCAAGCTTTCTATCAAACCACCAAATTTCAAACTAAATTCTCTCCTCCACTCTGCACGGCAGATAGATCCCTTCTAAGTTGCTCTCCCTTGACAAAGGTGAGCTCCATAAGAAAATCAGTGAGAATTCCATGTACATAGGGAATAAAGACAAAATAACAAGAGATCCTCTGTACAGATGGGAGAGGAAAACATAGCTTCTTGTTACATTCCATCACTGTGGAGCCCGTGAGCCCATTTGTCCTCTCATTTACAGTGGTGCTACTCCATTTAATCCATTGGAGATGCACAGAATAACACAAGAGAATGTGGCCTGAGATGTGTGACTTTCCTCACAGGCTGCTGCAGTGTGGCTTTGACAAGAGGCTCCCACTTCCTTTTTGGAGATGCAGCCTTTTGCTGTGCTGATGGTCTGCCAGGCAATGCACAATGGGGCAGAGAGCGGTGCAGAGCCTCAAGTTGGGGGCTGGGGGCCTCTAGTGGCTCCCCCTGCTCCCAGTGCTTTTACTCAGGAAGTGCAATGAATTCCAGCAACCCACCTTCTCCATACAGGTGTATATGAGGGAGGACAAGTCTCATCCGCTCTTGGGAGCCAGAATTGGCTCTAATCCATTTCACAGAAGTGCCCTGAAGAAGGTTCCATTGTATAATGTCTTTGGTCAGTTCTTTTTGGAAGTTCTTTGTTGCATCTAGACATAGAACTTGTGAACTGCAATGAAACCACAGCATAAGAGTACAGGTACCAGGGCTTTATTAGACATTTCACTGAATACAAAGAAACTGGGTTTTATGCTTTTCACATTCAATGCACATTCTTGTCATAAAAAAAATCACATTTGCCATACAGAACTATAGGCGATTTTTTTTTTACACAACATTTATTAAAGTACCATTGACTAGATCCTAAAAAGAGAAGGGACAGCCCTGTGAACCGCTGGTGCACAATGCACAAGGAGCTATAGGTCACCAATGTGACACACCCACATCTCACAAAATGAAATAATATCATTCCAATGCATTAGAATGCAATGCAATCATTTGGAATAGTAAGGCTTCTAGAAAGAGAATTTTAATAGGGTTAGAGGCAGTATGGCAATATTGTCAGAATAACTACCTTGCACGCTTCTAAAACTACTCATCACCGAGTCAGGCAATAACCCAACACCTGCCATGGATTTATCTTCAAGTACATTTCCCCCCAGTTTTTATAATGACACTTAAAACTAGTGCATTCTGCTTTATGTATCCCAGCTTCCCAGGTGGTGTAACACTAATCAAAACAGATTTGTTAATGTAAATACAAGTCCCAGAATCTAGGTATCTTTGCAGATCCAATTGACTTTGGTGGGACTCTGCATGTGTGAAAAAAGTTTGCCCATGTGGCTCCAACTGCAGGATTGAGGCCTATGGGCTCTAGTCCATCTCGCTGCTAGTACAGGATTACTCCCACAGATACATTTACTAGTTAGTTATTCGAGTTTTAAATGTGGAGTTACAAAGTTTAGGGCTAAATTATCTCCAACCAAGGAAGGGTGTATCTAACAGGTCAAGTATGTGGGTATGCATGGGGACTGGGTGGTGGAGGTGTGGGAAACCTGCCTGTGACAGGAGACATTAAGTCTCTCTCTGCCTTCTCCTAGCCCTGTGTCCCTTCACGGAAGTTCTTGACCAAAGCTGGAAGTTGTGCATTGAAACCAGCAACCCATATCCAGCATGGATGTGGGTTTGTTCACCTCTGCTAGTGATGTTGGGAGGGAGCTGAGGTTGAGAGTAGGATAAGGCATATTAGTGCACATGGAAGGTAAGGAGGGATGATGGACAGAGGGTAGAGAGATTGCAGAAGGGTGCTGAAATTAGATAACCAGCACTTCTGCTCAGTGCTTAATTTGTAATGAAAGATGTGCCAGGACTCAAGCAATGATTTACTTTCATAACTGATGTGGCAAGCCTAGAGGTGCTAGGGCTTAGCTCTGGCACAAATTAAGTACTACAGCTGCTTCTCCCCAACCAGCGGGGTGGGTTCTCACTGGCTTTCACCTCAGCACCCCAAACCTATTATCTGCTACTTAAGCAGGTTTGACTCTGAAGCTGTCCCCCCCCCCCCATACGATATCAATTGACTGAGCAGGCCAGCACGCAGCTGTCTGGCTGGGCAGATCTGGAGTTGGACCTGTCTTGTGTCACATATTGGGTGTTGAGGACACAATCACCCTTAACATCAAGTAGAGGTGCTGCATGCAGAAACGGGAAGGGGGAACTGTATTTGATTGTGAGACATGGTTGGCTGATTCATCATATTTCTGTGTAGTGGAAAGTACTGACGCTCCCCTTCTTTCTTAGAGCATAAAGCCTTTCAACTCTGGCCTGTTGGACCTTACATCACTTTCTTAGTGAAAGCTGTACACTCAAGACAGCAGAATGCTGTCAGTGGGCAGGACTGGCCTGGGTACCTCCTTGTCCCTAACCCTCCCTCTTCAACATGTGGAATGAACCTGGATCCTGGGGCAGGTTTCGAACTGTGAACTCACAGTCATATTCCACCAGAGGACATTCTCAGTATTATCCAGCACCCAGGTATTTTCCCACCCACAGCTGAATTACCTTGGAAAATTTTGCCCTTAGTGTCATAGCTACACTAAAATCCAGAGCAAATTACATGCTCTCCATTAGATGTGCCCAATTCCCATTGACATAAATAGGAGTTGTGAGTGTATATCTGAGGGAATGATCTGGCTGATATGATATATCATACTAGGTCTTGATATTTGTGTACAGTTAATTTGATCTTAAAAATGTGCTAATCCTTATCAGTTTTTAAATGAGCTCCAAATAAGTTCAAGTTTAACTCCTTCTAAAAAGTAAAACAACCCAGTCCTGGAAAAAGCATTCAGCCACCACACAACTTGTTTTGAAATCTGAACTCATAACTACAGGGCTTAACAAAATAATGCAGCTACATTAAGGCAGGTACCATGACTGCCCTTTTCCTTTAGGATAAGTTATTTCTCACATTTTGAACACAACCCCCACCCCCACACACGCATACACACACACATACACACACAAACATGTAACCAGTACCTATAAAACAGCAGCACAGTAATAAACATAATAAATAATAATAGAGAAAAATCACTGAACTCCAAGAAACTGGTCATCAATACATTTTACATACTCTACAGCATATTTTATCCTTGTCAGTGGGTAAATGAACAATTCAGAACAATGTTGACAACTGTATATAACACAGAAGCTACCAGTGAAATATGGCAAACACATCATATAAACTATTAACTTTTGCTTCACTGAAAAGGGGTTTAGCTGTCTAAAATGGTGTTAGCTGAACTCTTGAAATCCGCATATAACCCATTCAGATGGCACTGCTCATCGCTCCATGCATTGTATTCAGAATGAAAACCATTAGAGGTATGTTCTCAGTAGACTTCTCTTTTTTGATATTTCTCAGCTAGTCTTCAGAATTTTTTATTTCCTTTCATACCATATACCACACCCTGGTCAATTTCTGCTCTTGATTAAACCAGTGTAAATCTGCAGTAACTCCTCTGAAGCCAATAGAGTTGTTTTGACAGCAGGATTTGACTCTGCATTCAGGAGGTACACACACATTGTACATACTTTTACAGAAATGAACACTATGATAATTTTAATGGAAGAATGTATGTGTAAATTACATCTATAAAAATACTGGGGCAAATTCTGCCTGCAGTTACACCAGTTGTAATATCATTGATTTCATTACTATTGATACTTCAGTGGGCTTCCATGAGGGTTCATTGGTGAAAACTGAGCAGATCCCACATACACTGGTGTAAGTCAGAAATAACTTCACTGAAGCCAATGAGTATACTGGTGTGAAATAAGTGGGCCAAATTCTCACAAGGTGTAAATCAAGATAGCCTCAAGGAAATGATTGGCGCTGTGCTGATTTACACCAGCTGAGCATCTGACCCGTTGCCTTTAAGCTCTTTAATGTATGTGGTGCTCTGTTGTGATTGGTAATTTTTGCAGATCTGACTGAAAGAAAACATTAAGTAGCCATGTCATAGCATCCGAAAGATTCATATTACTTGACATGTACACACTAGACTATAGACACGAGTGGTTAAATGTGTACAAGAGGAGAAAAAAGACAATGTGATGGCAGTCGACGAATTAACATTACTAGCTCCAAAAGACAGTGAAGGATGCAAAATACAACACATGGAAAAATTATGATGCCCAGTATCTTAGGTGGGGTTTTTGCTCTTATGAGTAGATTACAGTCATTATTTCCCTTATAGGATTCCATGTGGTATGTGTGCAGAAAAACCAAAGCAGGCTATGTCAAACAACGGAACGCAGTAGGACCCAATTCTGCAGTTCTTAAGCAGACACATTTAATGTTCAAGTCAATTTTGCCTACATACAGATGGCGAGATTGGGCTCTAAGGGCTTGTTTACACATAAAAATTAATGCAGAATAAGTGAAGGTGAGAATTTAAAGCAGATTAACTATTCCTGATTAATTCCACGAGTACTTGCTCTTATTCTGGAATAAGAGTGCTGTATGGATTAAGCTAATGTGGAATAAGACACTCATGCTGGAATATAAGCATCCACACATGCAGTTAATTGGGAATAGCTATTCTGAAATAACTCCCTATGTAGACAAGCCCCAAAAGGGTCCAGTTGTATTGCACACTTCCTTTCTGGTGCGTTTGGTTTCTTGGCAAGCATCCCACAAGTACAACAATGGAAACTTTCCCCGTTAGGATGGCAGGATTAAGATGTTTGTCCACAACAGACTAGCGAACTGCACGTTACTCTATTCCCTCCCCGACAACAGTTAAAGCTAGTTTGTTTATTCACAGCCCTTGCCATTAAATTCTGTTCTTCTCCATTGGGAAGGAGATTAACAGCTGAATGAAAATGTCATTTAGCTGACAAAGTTTTTTTGTGCATTTAGCTAACAGTATAAAGATCCCTTCCCTCCCCCAGCCCAATGGAGAAACTACATAATTTGTTTATTACCCTATCTTTGCAGAGGACTTTTTTTGCTTTGCTTTTATTTTCCAGCACCCAAACAACAAATAGGACACAACTGATGCTAAGCAAACATTTTAACAATGCCAATAAGCTCAAGATACAACATAGTTATATTTATATATACTTTTTTCTTAAATACATCGAAACACCTGTTTTCAGTACATATTTATATAAATGAAACCCTTGTGGCATTTTATGTGTGCTTGACTCAGGGTTTCCAGGAGGAAATCAACATTGTGCCTCTCAGTTGTTTATAATAGAAACCCAATCACAAAATAAAAGCAAATTAGTCTTTTTTCTTTGCTCACCCTAAAGATGTTTGCACTGCTCAGATTTTTTATTTTTTTTAACATATAATATTTTTATGCAGTTAAAATGCTTTGGCCACATTTAAATAACTGAAAAATGACAAAAAGAAAAGGAGTACTTGTGGCACCTTAGAGATTAACAAATTTATTTGAGCATAAGCTTTCGTGAGCTACAGCTCACTTCTGCATGCATCCGATGAAGTGAGCTGTAGCTCACGAAAGCTTATGCTCAAATAAATTTGTTAGTCTCTAAGGTTCCACAAGTACGCCTTTTCTTTTTGCGAATACAGACTAACACGGCTGCTACTCTGAAACCTGAAAAATGACAGAAGACATTGAAAAAAAAGCAATCTGGCTCACTGAAATAATTATGAAAATAGTTTCTTAAACCATATCTCCAATAAGTAAGGAAACAAGTTCTAAATGTATATCACCAGACGCCCTGTTCAAAGGAAAGGCACTGCCTTGAGAACTGTGCAAAATGTGGCCGTTTCAGTTTGCACGGGATTCAGCAAAACTTACTTGTGCATTTCAACTCATGTAGCTCTCATCTGTTGAATTTTCCTTTGAGAGAATCTGGAAACTACTTTCATCAGAACCTACTGAGTTTCGTCTCGCTTTGTGTGAAAACCATAGCTTCCTCCATCTCCCATGGGAAGAGACAGTGTTTGTGAACCTCAGCAAATGTTTTGGTCAAGTTTTGGGTTAGTAAAGAAACCAAACTGTCCTGGTTTTGCGGTCCCATTGTGATTGGTTCTCATAGCCCTAATTGACACACAGGGATGGTTAATGAAGAAGGAGTTGTAAATTTACTTTCTACATTCTTTAACCTGTATATATACCTATAGCTAAAAATGAGGGCACAGTTCTGTGTGTGCATGTCTCTGTATTATGTACATAGAGACAATATATATATATGTGCCTTTAATGCACACATACATGCATAGACACACACTGGCACATCATCTAAATACAAAATACCAGTGAATATACCTTTTATTCCACTACTTTGGAAATGAAAAAATATCCATTCCTGGTGACGCCATTTTCATTTTCGTAACCTCAGAACGTTGCATTTGCAGTTTCTATTCCTCATGTTTTATCACTTAATGGAAATTAGTAAGGGCCAAATAAAACCATCCTTAGGCCTTACTCAAGCAACTTCCATTGCTATCAAGGGGACTTCAACTGAATAAGGATGCCACCTTAACCCTCACCCTCTCAAATTTAATCTATGATATTTCAATAAGCAATTTCTCATTGTACTACTTTGGAGTCCGTATGATTTGTAGAAATTTTACTAAATGCTCTACTTTCCTCCATTGTCCACATGCACATCAGTATATATGATTAACTCTATTAATATCCAATTGTGAGTTGTTGAAACCATACAATGACTCTGCTCTCATTTTATTTTATATCTCACCAACTTTTTTACCCATTAGAGTGATATATGTTTCATTAAGAGTAGGGGGACTGGAGGGTCTGCTGTTGTAATAGCAGGTATTCTAAACCTCTTGTCATGATTTATTATTTCACAGGAATGAAAGGACCATAGATTAATGTTATTTGCTACCCACTGAACTGTTCCACTCTTTAGTAGAGCAATTTTTCACTGTTGAATTGGCACCAATTTTTTCATCAGCAGAAAACTGTTGCTCTGTGTTTATAGCTGCCTTAAAGAGAAATTGATACTGCAACTTCGTATTAAACAAGTCAACGTTTCGTCTGTATAGATTTATTCCTGCAGAAAGTAAATTTCTATAGATGAGGTCAAATCCTGCTCATCCTACTCAGATGAGTAATTCTACTGAATTAGGGCTTAATCCAAAGCCGATGAATGAAAAGCCTCCCGTTGACTTCAATGGGCTTTGCATCACATCTGTAAATGGGACTTCTCATGGGAGGGATTTTTAAAAGTGCTCAGCATTGCCGTAACTCTGCTCCTACTGAAGTCCATGGTAAAACTCCCATGGGCTTTCATGGGATTCGAGTTAGGCCAATGCTGCATACTTTTTTGACTTCAGCAAGTGCACAGCACTTCTGACAATCCTACTCCAGGTGAGCAAGGTGATCAGGATTTGGCCCATATTCTGCACAGGCTACAGAATATGGTTCTCAATATTTGCCGTCTGCTGATGATACAAGAATTGCAAGCATGACTTTATATTGAATTTATTCCCCAAATGCCAATAAACTGATGGCTGCCAATGAATGCAATCAGTTATGCCACCTAACAGATGAAGTGCGTTGAATTGAAACATTAGGGTCATATAGTGCCCTCAGTCTGCAGCAAAACATTCATGTCAGTAGGAATTCCCTGTGCAGACAGAGGGCATTATATGTCCCTCCAATCTACATAAAGCAAATTGCTTGGCACTATTCATAACCTTAGAAGTAAGACACAAATATTATATTTGGTACTTTGTGGAAAATGTGCAGTGGCTTTCTCTAGTCGACCACTAAAGAAATCCTGTTTTGCTCTTCAAATGAAAAACATGAGGGTTTATTAACGTAGAAAATTATTATAACCAATGAAAACATTTCCCTTTGCCCACCCACTACAGCCCTAAACACCTCAGAGATTCAGTGTTATAGGAAGATCTGTGTGTTACAAGATATTTTTTTCTAATACAATTGGGTTTTCCTTTCAAATCTACTCAATGAACAACAAATATATTGCAGTAGTATCAAGTAGTATCAGCTTCGCCTTCATCCAGGATATAGTTGAGTTTTATGACAGTGCTGATAAAGTCACCAAGTTCTACAAAATCAGCAGTGATAATATTGATACCACTTTCTCCTGGTTTCTGAGTTCGGACCCAATGCATCATTGCGGGAAGAGCCCTGAGGAGGAAAAGGAAGAAGAATTATTAATAAAGAAGCAAGACAAGTATTTTGGGTGGAGTTTTATAAAGCACTTAGCATTGACTTCACTTTGCTCCCCAGGGTAAAATGCCCATTGACTTCAATTAGGCCACGGCTGAGCACATTTGAAATTTTCACCCTTTCCTCCTTTAATTCCCTGTGTAGACTATGTCTTGATTATATTTCAGTTTCTTAAGGATTAATGCAAACATTTAATAGAAACATGCCATGCAATCCCACAGCAATTGGTTAGGAAGGAGAAATAACAGAGAAAACAAGTCATCGTTCATGCTAGGTTGACACATCATACAAAGCTTTGCAAAACATTCTGCTTACATAGTGGATGTTGTCTATTGTTCTCACACTTATTTCTTCATTGTTTCACTTCACAAAAACAAGACCTTTGTTTCTCTAAAGTTCCATTGCTCCTGATAGTTATTTCCCATCAGGATTTAGACTTATATTAAATCTTAGTTTGGGACACCAGAACAATGTGCTGAATATCCCTTTCTTTACAAAACTGTATATCACACGTCCAATAGTCAAGTCATGGGCTATGTTCCATCATGAGTTTGTGTCTTTATGATTAGTTAGTGGAAGAAAATAAGACTTATGGTTGTTTTTGAGACAGGGTGGAGTTATTAGGTCAGGAACCCAGAAGTGGGATATTGGACTGCAAAATGTATTTCTGTGTGTCTCTTTATAACCTAGAGCTCTCTGTGATGCCATGAAGGCTATATTATGATCTCTAATAAGCTATATATGGAGAAGATGTTTGATAGTTGATGACTCTTTAATCCTGCAGATAAAGGCATAACAAGATCCAATAGCTGGAAGCTGAAGTTAGCAAAGTTCAAATGAAATAAACGTGCACATTTTTAACAGTGAGGGTAATCAATCATTGTAGCAAATTACCAAATTGTCCAGTATTTGGAGTCTTAAAATCAAGATTAAATGTCTTTCTAAAAATATGCTCTAGTTCAACCACACATTACTGGGCTAAAAGGAGGAATGCACTGAGTAAAATCTATGACTTATGTTATGCAGGAGCTCAGACTAGATGAATGTAATAGACCCCTCTGGCCTTAAAATCTACAAATCTCTGATTCCCTCCTGGATTGCACCTGAGGTAGTAATTTTCCCTTATACAAAGCAAGTGTAAAATTCTGATCTGGTAGCAATACCAATCAGGTCTAATGTTTTGAATGTAAATTAATCTATTCCTGACCAATGGCCTTAGGCAAAATAGTAAGAAAGCATGCATAATGGGTGAAGGATACAGATTTTACTTATAAGTGACTTAACTACTTTAATTATAAAAGTATTCACTGTTGACACAAAGGTTAACCTGGATCCTATAAAATATTACAAAGAGAAAAGCACAGCACTCCCAGGCCTTGGTTCAGATCAGAAAAGCACTTAAACACATGCAAAGTCTATTCATGAAAGCATAAAATTTGATTTTATTGATTCCAGTGGGACTTAAGCAGGTGCTTAGCATGTGTTCAAGTGCTTTGCTGAATCCAGACTTAATGGAGTATCTTTGTAATTTTATTATGTATAAATCTGAAGAATTGTACTTGGTATTGTTGCATGAAGAACCACGAGAGAGACTATGAAACTGGAGAGAGACCATGTCATGATTCCAGGAACCAACATTTGAAAGGAATTGACACTAATCATTGGTGCCGACTCCATGTGTGCTCCAGGGCTGGAGCACCCATGGAAAAAAATTAGTGGGTGCTTAACACCCACTGGAAGCCAGCTCCCTCCTCACCTCCACAGCGCCTCCCACCCACTACAATCAACGGTTTCGCGGTGGTGCAGGAGGCTCTGGGAGGAAGGGGGAGGAACGGGAATGGGGCATGCTCATGGGAGAGGGAGGAAGTGGATGGGAAGAGGCGGGGCAGAGGGCGGGGCTTGGGGGAAGGGGTCTGGTGGGGGCGGGACCTGGGGCGGAGCAGCGGGTTGAGCACTCCCAGGGTCTGGAGGAAGGCGGCGCCTATGACACCAACCAGCTTTTGAGGAACTGGACAAATCATAACCAGAATGACACAGATGAACCAGAGCATGAGGAAACTGATTAAGGATGGCTCAAAAGGGGTTGAAAGCACTCAAAATGCAGTGTCATATTGAAATGTCAATATTTTGCTGAACACTGGAGGACTACATTGGGCAGAATTCCCAGGGAGGGCTTTAAACGGACTTTCCTTTTAATTCTAGCTTCCTATTTGAGCTCAGAAAGTCTTTTAGACTTAAAAGTGAGGGACCTGATTCTGTCTCTAACTAGTTTGATATAGGTTCTTTATTTCTTAAGTGCTCATCTGCCTTTGATATTTATTTCTTCTTGAGGCGTAACATCTTCTCTTTGTGGCATCCCATTTGTTTGCTGTGAAACTGATGATAATTTTGTAATTCTGTTCCCAACCCAAGAGTTTTCTGATCATCTAATCCAGTGGTTTTCAAATTTATTTGATCATGCCCCCACTTTGTTTTATCTGTAGTAGTTTATGCCCTGGCCAGACAGGTACATATACCGATAAAAAAAAAAAATCAACAAGCTACTGTCTCTAAATATTACAAGCAGAAATGCATTGATTCAAAACAGAGCCAACAATCCACTGTAATATGAGCAAAAACAAAACTGCGATTGTGGTTGAGCTTACAATTAAATATGCATACCGTGACTTAGCAAACAGATTAATGTACAGATGGCAATGGCTTTGTATAATACTGTGCAAGGGTAATAGAAATCTGTCAAAATGCACAGTACCATCTAGAGTCAAATGCACAGCACTATTTGAGGACCTGATATATCAGGAGGAATCAGATTTGCTAGTTATTTATTGCTGTGGGTAAAATGTGTGCCATACGTTTTTTTTCTAAAGCTTCTCCCCCCGTGAATACAGTCAGCGCCCCCCACAGGGGGGCCTGTGCGTCAGTTTGAGAACCTCTGATGTAACCTATGTAATAAGGTGCCTATCACCTTGATATTTATAATCAGTGTTCTTTTTCTCTTGCCAGGTTCAAATCAATCTAACATTTACTAGACAGGTTTACTTTAGGCTAGTATTCCATTTCAGGCTCACCTGAGCTGGTGTGCCTTGACATGAGACTCTTTCAGGTTCAGTGCTGGTAGCTAGCGGATTTCATTTAATATTTCAGACTGAACTTCATTGCACCATCCCCAGTCACATACTGTCAGATAAACTGATAAGGATCTTTGGTTGATGGATCTAGAGCAGTGGTTCTCAACTTATTTATGCAGCCCATAATGTGTTACCTGGGCTGCAGGGGCCAGGTGGCAGAGTAGTGGCAGCCCAGAACTTGCCATGCGGGGCTGTCTGACTGCCTGCCCCAGACCCAGGACCCCCATTGTGGGGCTGCCTTGGACCCCACAGGGCTGGCCGTGAGCCCCAGACCTTGCAGGGTGGGCCAGCAGCCCCAGACCCCTGACCCCACGGGTCAGGTGCCCCAGACCCCATGGGGCCACAGGCAGCCCCAGACTCCAGACCCCCCAACTCCGCAGGGCCAGCTGGCAGCCTTGACCCCTGGACACCCGCCACATGGGGTGGGCCGGCAGCCCTGACCCTGGCACTCTGAGCGGTGGGCAGCTGGGATCCCAGACCCTGCCACGTGGGCGGCCTTTAGCACACGGCTGAGCTGGGCCACAGCTGTGTGCTAATTGGGCCGTGGGTTGAGAACTGCTGATCTAGAGATCTTGCAAACATAAATCATATATAGATTAGATTAGACAGCAAATAAAATAAAATAAAATAAAATAAAATAAATCTTTGCCTAGCAAAGCACAAGACTTCTCCATATTAATGCACAGAAAAAATAAAAGCAGCAAAATACATGGGGCCCAAATTCTGTGCTGGTGTAACTCCACTGACCTCAAGAATTAGGCTTAGGGTATTTTACAAAAGTCTCTTTCGTTAACACTGCATATGATGAGAAGTTCACATAAAGGGCAGTACATTTCCCTCTTCCCATAATGCCACCTTGAAAACGGCTCTACATCCGGGGTTGCAAGAAACTGTGTGCATTGTTTTGCTTTAGTACAAACACTCACACATGTTAACAGCAATTATGGGAATAATCCTGGTTTAATATTCCTCTGGGTCTCTTTCTAATGGCAATACAAAACTTGTTTACCCTTCACTGTAATTTCCAGCATGCCTCAAACTAGTACTGTAATTGTCCTCATTAAGGGTTTTAGTCAGGAAAATGCAGACCATGCTGTGTGGCAGCCACCCACAAGTTTTTACACTCACAGAAACCCAGTAGATAGCATGGCATTAGTGTATATTCTCTTAGGCTATGTCTACACTTCGCACCTTTTAGTGACACAGCTGTGCCGCTACAGCTGTGCGGCTAAAAGGTGCACAGTGTAGCCGTTCTTTGTCAGCAGGAAAGACCTCTTGCGCCGACAAAAAACTTCCATCCCCAACGAGAGCTCTCCTGCCGACAAAGCGCTGTTCACACTGGTGCTTTTCGTCGGTAAAACTTTTGTCGTTCAGGGTGTGTTTTTTTCACACCCCTGAATGACAAGTTTTACTGACGAAAATCCAGTGTAAACAAAGCCTTAATCTCTCTAACAAAGTGGATTTTGTTCATGGGCATAAACAATTCTCTCCCCCTATAAATGCACTGTAGCCAACCATGGACCCCACCCCCCTGCAGTTGCATCTATGTAAGCAGACCCCTTTGGCCACTGGGAGTCTGCCTCAAGGATTTTACTGTCCATGCACCTGCAGTATCAGGGCCAAAGCTTCCTAACCTTACACTGGAAAGAGTGACAGAATGGTCTGAGAACAGGTCTCCGCCCCAAAAATTCACAAGTACTGATCTCAGCTCTCACACAGGCCTTGTTGACACACAAAAGTTATACTGCTTAAGCTCTATTGGCACAGTTAAGGTGGTACAATCATTATGGAGGCAGCTATATCAGTACCACACAGGAAGTGGAATCAGAT